TCCCTGGCAGTCTATTTTTATTGGATTTGTGAAGACAGCAGATGCAGTCCCAGAGCTCCAACGCTGGTACTGTGGCTCTCGTCACCACCCTTTTCCCAGAGCTGGGATGCCAACAGTTGGACTTGTTGAATCATCGATTCCATAAACAAGTCATCGAAAGGACACTCTTCACATCCCAGATCATAATATTGTACTTGGAGAGCCATCCGAAGTCGATACCCTCTCCATGGGAGAGTTAGAGAGAAATGACATCACTCAATTCGGAAGATAAAGAGCAATCTACAGTATAGCAGTATGCCTCAGGGGAAATAAGCCAGAGGAGAGAGGATTACAAAGGAGGCTATTACACAATTCATCGTTTTTCCTGTCCAGCTGCTCTGGCTCCATCCCACAGCTCTTTGGGACCTACTGAGTCTTATTCAGTACCCCTCATGCCCTCCCAGACAAAGGTAAAAGGCAGCTCCAGATGTGCCCCAGGGGTCAACATCAGCCCATGGCAGGGTTTCTCCTCCAGGTCCCCATGTGATAACGATGGAACCATAGCAGGCCATCACAGCAGCATAATGAAAGGTCAGCGGACCAACCAAGGGCCAAGCAGCTGGTATGCACAGGTGGGAGGTGACGATGTCTTCTGAGGAGGCCAGGGGAGACGCAGAGGCTCATTCAGCCCATCTGCTCTCTTCTTCCTGGGATTTTTATTTCTTAGATTTAGTCTTCACTGTGAAAAACATTCTGCTGTCGGGAAGATCTTGATGCTCCATCCCTCTGCTGTAGGTTTCTAATTATACAAGCCTACAAGCAAGCAATCCCTCTCTAGAAACGTAATTCCCATCTTGGCTGCTCCTCAGAATTAATTATCAAAGGCAATTTCTTCGTAAAGATGCCACAGCCCCTCATGTGCAAATACACAGGGGAACATAACGCTATCTACCTGTGCTTCCTCAGTAGCTGGGCCTGTAAGGAAAATGTTGGCAGAGTCACACTTTCGGGTAAGAAACAAAGATGGCTGGGCGTGGAGCTCAGCGGTGTAGTGCTTGTGTAGTGTATGTAGTGCCCCAAACTCAAGCCCCAGCAGTCCGAAAAATACGTGTGTGTGTGTGCGCGCGCGTGTGTGTGTATACAGTGTGTGTGTGCGTGTGTGTGCGCGCGTGTGTGTGTGCGTGTGTGTGTGCGTGTGTGTGTGCGTGCGTGTGAGTGTGTGTGAGTGTGTGCGTGTGTGTGTGAGTGTGTGTATGTATACAGTGTGTGTGTGCGTGCGTGTGTGTGTGAGTGTGTGTGTATACAGTGTGTGTGCGTGCGTGCGTGCGTGCGTGTGTATGTGCGTGTGTGTGTATACAGTGTGTGTGTGCGTGCGTGTGTGCGTGCGTGTGTGTGCGTGCGTGTGCGTGTGTGTGTGCGTGCGTGTGAGTGTGAGTGTGTGTGAGTGTGTGTGCGTGTGTGAGTGTGTGTATGTATACAGTGTGTGTGTGCGTGCGTGTGTGTGTGAGTGTGTGTGTATACAGTGTGTGTGCGTGCGTGCGTGCATGTGTGCGCGTGCGTGTGTGTGTGCGTGTGTGTGTATACAGTGTGTGTGTGCATGCGTGCATGCGTGTGTGCGCGCGTGCGTGCGTGTGTGCGCGCGTGTGTGTGTATACAGTGTGTGTGTGAGTGTGTGTGCGTGTGTGTGTGTGCGTGCGTGAGTGTGTGTGTATACAGTGTGTGTGTGAGTGTGTGTGCGTGCGTGCGTGTGTGCGTGCGTGCGCGTGCGTGTGTGTGTGTGCGTGTGTGTGTGTGTGCGTGTGTGTGTGCGTGCGTGTGTGTGCGTGTGCGTGCGTGCGTGCGTGTGTGTGTCCGTGTGTGTGTATACAGTGTGTGTGTGTGTGCGTGTGTGTATACAGTGTGTGTGTGAGTGTGTGTGCGTGCGTGCGTGCGTGTGTGTGTGCGTGTGTGTATACAGTGTGTGTGTGAGTGTGTGCATGCGTGCGTGTGTGTGCGTGTGTGTGTGTGTGCGTGTGTGTGTGTGCGTGTGTGCGTGTGTGTGTGTGTGTGTGTGTGTAGCTAGGGCAATGGCCACTACACTCATGAACTCAAAGTAGTTGAGGCCACCTGAACAAGATGGGACCATGTTCCAGCAAATAATCCCCATTCATGCTCTTGTAGGCACTGCTACTTAAACTCACTGGGTCACAAAAATACAAAAGACAAAGAAGTAAGAGGGAGCATGTGGGGGGGGGAGGATTCAGTGGGAGTGGAAGGGGGAGGAGGAGGGGGTGAAAATGACCCAAGTTCATTAGACACATAGATGAGGTAGCCTATGAATAAAAGATAAGAGACACAGCTATAGGGAACAAGCTGACATTTAATTTAGATATAATATATAATTTACAAGACTATAAAACTGGTCAATATCTTTACTTTCTTTTTTCAAACTTTAATAACAATTTTCCAAGTCTTCCTCCTTCTCCTTCTCCTCCTCCTTCTCTTCCTCCTCCTTCTCTTCCTCCTCCTCCTCCTCCTCCTCCTCCTCCTCCTCCTCCTCCTTCTCTTCCTCCTCCTTCTCTTCCTCCTCCTTCTCTTCCTCCTCCTCCTCCTCCTCCTCCTCCTCCTCCTCCTCCTCCTCCTCCTCCTCCTCCTCCTCCTCCTGTGATGGGATCTCATGTAGCCCAGGCTGGCCTCAAACTTGCTAGTAGGCAGAGGAAGGCCTCAAACTCCTGACCCTCCTACCTTCACCTCCCAAGTTCTGGGATTTCAGGTGTGTACCACCTCATCCACTGGAAAGCTAATCTCTGTCTGTCTCTGTCTCTCTGTCTGTCTCTGTCTCTGTCTCTGTCTCTCTCTCTCTGTGCAAGTGCATACACGTAGACCAGAAGTTTACCTTGGGTATCACTCTTTAGATGCCATCTACCTTTTTTTTTTTTTTTTTTTTTTTTTTTTAGAGATGGTGGCCTGGAGTTCACCAAATAGGTTGGGGAACCCAAGGGATTGCCTCCCTTGAAATGTGATTATGGGCTGGCATCTTTTAAAAAATGTATTTACTTTTTTATGTTTATGGATGTTTTACCTACATGTATGTCTGTGTACCACAAGTGTGCCTGATGTCCTTGAAGGCCAGAAGAGGTCGTTAGACCCCCTGGGTCTGGACTTATAGATGGTTGTGATAATCAAACCTCTTTCTCAGGAAGAGTGGCCAGCGCTCTTAATCGTTAACCCATCTATTCAGTCTGTCCTCCCCCCCACCCAATTTTGCTTTTCACGCTGTTTCTCTGTGTCGTCCTAGCTGTCCTGGAAATCACTCTATGGACCAGGATAGCCTTGAACTCAGAGATCTGCCTGCCTCTGCCTCCTGAGTACTGGGATCAAGGGTGCACACTAGCATGTCCAGCTCTCTCCACCCCCCTTATAAAACATGGGTTCTGGAGATCAAACCCAGGCCCTTACACATGCAGGGCTAACACTCCTACCTACTGAACTGCAGCCCCAGCCCTGGAGATAGAACCCGAACACTACTGAACACCTACTGTAAGACAGAGGCTGCGGGGGAAGCATCTGGTTTAATTTAAACACATTTCACCTTCTTTTCTTCTTCCCCTTTCCTTCTGAGAACACAGGAAAAGAAATGCTACAGGGGGCAAGATAGGGACCAGGAAGCTTCAGAGAGTCAGGGGATGGAGACAATAGGTTTTCGCTAGGCACATACTTCACAGTCTGGGGAAAAGACAGGCGAAATGAACCGAAAAGATAACTGAATACCTACTGTGTTTTTTTCTGTGTATTTGCAAACAGACACTCATTTCTTACACCCAGGAAACATCAACGTCTCCCATGAACATACCTCACTCAATATACCCTAAGGTCCGTATTCATCTGGAAGACAACATGAGTTGGGAGCTCAAATCCCACTGCAGCTACTTGCTAGCAATGCAACTTTGGGAAAGTCACTTAAGCTCTCTGAAATGTTCATTTTTTTCCCACTACGAAATGCAAGTTTAACATTTTGATCATAATCGGGGCAGTGCTGGCGCACATCTTTAATACCAGCACTTGGGAGGTGGAGGCAGGCTGATCTCTGAGTTCGAGACCAGCCTGGTCTACAAAGTGAGTTCCGGGACAGCCAGGGCTACACAATGAAACACTGTCTCAAAAAAACAAAAAACAAAAAACAAAAAAAAACAAAAAAAAATCTAAACCAAACCAAATAAACAAAAACACATCATAAAGTGTTGGGATGGTGAGCTGACATCAAGTATAAAAAACATGAAAACAGCTCTGCAAGGCAAATGTGATCATCACTTTCCAGATTCGGAGAAGACAACAGGTGTAAAGAAGCCAAGTGAGTCACCCGAGGCCTCATGGGAGCCATCAGTGGAGTCTGAGATTAATTCCAGCTCCTGCAAACACTTGGCTGCCTGTCTCCACTGCCCACGGCACAGATGCACCCATCTCCCCTCCTGCCCTCTCTCGGGCTCCCAGAGAGACACAGAGAGCTTCCCTTAAAGGGCCTACCCCTGAGTACCTGGCATTCCCTGAGTGGGCCCCGTGTGGCAGGTTCCTGGTCTGCCAGCAATGCAAATGACATCAAAGCACCTCTGTGTGTGTCAGAAAACGGGGTGACGGCACAGGACACAGCACCAGACCACACGCAGGTGCGTGACTTTCAAACTGACGGTGCCATTCCTGCTCCTCGTACCGGGGCTTCGGGCATGTGAGCCCGTCTTTTCTGGCGGGGTTAGTTCCACAGGGTGGGTACAGGCTGTGTGTGGTTCAGTGCCCCTGGGCTGACTTATTCCGGCACTCAAGTGCTTGTTCTCTGCCCCAGTCTACGGCAGGGCCAGGTAAAAGACAGTGATTTTCACGAAAGCAGTAAGAATCGGTTGTTCTGGAGCAGTGGGGTGCAGCTCGGCTATCATGAGACTGCTTCCCCAGCGTGCACAAAGCCTGGGTTAGCTCCCCAGGGCTGTATACACTAGGCATGCTGGCACATGCCTGCACTCCCGCACTCAGGGGGTGGAGGCAGGATGACCACACCTTCACGGCGATCCTTTGCTACACACTGGGTCTGAGGGGAGCCTAAGAAAGCTCATTTTCGAGAAATGCCGGGGGAGGGGATCTTTCTTCTTGCAAATCGCAAGAGGTCCCCCCACCGAGAGCTGAAACTGCTGTCTGCCACGGAGGTGAACAACGCTGCCATGTTCTGCTGCTGCGACGTTCCGACTTCGCCACAAGCTTAGAGACACAGAACCAAGGGATGTGGACTCTGAACCCCATGGAATAGTAAGCTAAACAACTTTTTCCTGCCTAAAAGGAAAGAAAGACTGAAGGGCAAGAGCAGGGGAAGAGACAGGAAGCCGGGAGGTGGGAACACCCCACAGAAGCAAGTCGTTTCCAGCCAAATTAGTTCCATCTATCGGCACCCTCTACGGTGTGCTCATCTGTCGGTTGTGGTAATTAAGTAGCTGTGCTAATTGATTTCATTATTATATCACACAGGGCAAGGTTTTCTCATGAGTCTGTAACTACTTGGGTATTAGGCAGTACCAACAACGCCATGAAAACTCACTACGCCGACCACGCACTTTCTTCCCAGCACTGAGCTTGTCAGGGCCCATATCCTGGGAGAATAAGAAACAGGGTCGTTGCTCCAAGGAGAGGGCCCACTGGGAATTTGTTTCTGTAACAGTCTGGCTCCTTGGCTCCACACCCAACCATCTTGACACTTAAGAGCAGGTCTCTTAAAAAAAAAAAAAAAAAAAAAAAGTCTTTTGCTACCAGAAGGGGGTGCTAGAGAGCCACACAGCTCCTTCCTGTTCAACTCAACCACACCCAGGCAGCTTTAGGATCAGTTGCAGTCCCAGGCCTAGACCCATCACACCTCCTCGGAGAGCAACCCCCCCATGCCCCGCCTCCCCTTCCCCAGGTTCCTGCAATGCTCCCTTTGCAGTGCTCCCAGGGCTTCTTGTGCTGCTGCTGCTTCCTCCTCTTCCTTCTTTTTTTTTTCTCAAGACAGGGTTTCTCAGTGCAGCCCCGGCTGTGCTGCAACTCACTATGTAGGCCAGGCTGGCCTCCAACTCAGAGGTCCGCCTCCCTCTCTTCCTGAGTGCTGGGATTAAAGGTGTGCACCGCCGCTGCCACCCCCCCCCCCCAGGCATCGCCTTACACCTCTAAATTGGGATAATTCCACTTTCTTGTGCCCCTCTCAACCTGAGAACATAACACGCCTGTCTCCTGTATCCCACCAAGATAGTTGATCTGTTCTGCCCTCCAACTGCTGTTCTATTGACTTTAGAAGTTAAATTTGGCTGTTAAAATAGTTTTTAGAAAACTGGACGGTGGTGGCGAATGCCTGTAATCCCAGCACTTGGGAGGCAGAGGCAGGTGGGTCTCTGTGAGTTCGAGGCCAGCATGGTCTACAGAGCGAGTTCCAGGACAGCCTGCAAAACAATACAGAGAAACCCTGTCTTGAAAAAAAAAATTTAAGGCTGGAAAGATGGCTCAGCCATTAAAGAAAGGCTGGGCTCACAACCAAAAATACAAACCAGCACTTGGGTTTTTGTTTTATTTTCAATCATGTCTGTGAGGGGCTATATGCAGTGATGGTGGGGGGGGCAGAAGAGGAAGTTGGAGGTACAGGCTGTTGTGAGCCACCTGGTATGGGCACTGTGTCTTCTGCAAGAGGGGTGTGCAATAACCACTGAGCAGTCTCTCCAGCCCATTCTGCTTTAAGATAGATTGAGTCTGGTAGGTAACCCGGGCAGGTCTAACCATGAGACTCCTCCCCCCACCTCCTCCTGAGTGCTAGGGGGACGGATACGCAACACCACACGCTTGGTTTGCTGTAGCAGTTTCCTGAAAGTAGCTGCGCCTAACTTGGAGTTCATCTATCTAGTCAAATCTGGTAACTTGGGAAATTACAATCCCCTCCCCCAGGTCCACTTCCCTTAACACGGCCCTTTGTATAATTTATGTTGCACACCTAAGTTAGCCCAGCACGGGCTAAGCACACAGCTACAACGGTATGCAAAACAAACTCCCTGGCGATCCCCACCCCCAAGATCTTCTTGTATTAACTGAAGGAGAAGATAATGCAGGTTAGGTTAGCACACTGCAAGGCGCATAGTCACCAGCCTCCTTCCCAAGCTGTGGCAGGCGGCAGATCAAAGAGTTTTGAAGGAAGAAGAGTTTTGTCAACTGAGTGTGCTTGGGAAATGAAGCAGGCTGTCCCCAGCAAGCTGCTGGTCAGTGCAGCACTGGGAACTCATTGTGCCCGGTGCCCATGCACCCTCCTCAGAGCACAGAGGCAGTGGCCTTGCAACAGCATCCACCCAGAGAGAAACGGGACAAACTGTTCTAAAGAGCAGATCGTGACCCCCGACAGTGACCATCTGGGGCTGGACCTGGCACCAGAATGGCCACAGAGAGGGAGTAAAGAAGATCCTAAAGTGGCTATTCCAACGTCAGTTACCGTAAAGACAGATGAAGGGCTGGGGGTACAGTGGTTATTCTATTCCAACGTCAGTTACCGTAAAGACAGATGAAGGGCTGGGATGCACCTCATTGGTGGAGTGTCTGCCTGTGCTGTGATTGGAGTGTGAGATCTCTCCCACAAGCTCACGGGAGCACTTGGTTCCCACGTAGTGGCCCTATTTGGGAGGCTGTGGAAGTATTAGCAGGTGGGGAAAATAGGCCACTGGGGTTAGACCTTGAGGTTTTACAACCCCACCCCATTTTCTGTTCACTGCTTCCTGGCAACCATGCCTTCCTTCCTTATCACAATAGACTACATTCCCTAGAGTTGTGAGCCAAAGCAAAACCACCATCCCTTTAAAGCACTGTGTGGGTGTGGGGCGTACATGCTCATGGGAGTATGTGCACATGTGTGTAGGTGTGGTAGATGTATATGTTCATGGGGGTTATGTGCGCACATGTGTGTGTGTGTGTGTGGTAGGTGTATATTGTTCATGTGAGTATGTGCACATGGGTATAGGTATGATAGGTGTGTATGTTCATGGGGGTGTGTGCACATGTGTGTAGGTATGATAGGTGTGTATGTTCATGGGGGTATGAGCACATGTGTGTGCACATACATGTGAATATGTGTATGCGTGTGGAAGTCTTCCCTATTGCTCTCCACCATGTTTTATTTTGAGACAGGGTCTCTCACTGACTCTAAAGCTCATTGATTCAGCTGAATCGACTGGCCACTGAGTGTTAGGGATCCACCCGTCTACACACGCCCGCCTGCTGGCCACCCGTGTACTAGAGCTTTGGACACACAATGCCTGGCTTCTGCGGGTGCCGGGATGCAGCTCAGATTCCCGTACCCGTGTCGCAGGCACTGTGCTGCCCGAGCCACCTCACCAGCCCCTCCAGCTGCTTCTCCTTAGGTGTTTGGGTCACAGCAGTGTGGGAGGTAACTGACATTGTGGCTAGTGGATACGGAGCCCTGGGTTCGATCCCTAGCACCACATAAAATGGGCATATGACACACACCTGTAATCCCAGAACCAGGGGGAGGGGGGGAGCAGAACTTCAAGATTGTCTTCAACTACTTAAGTCTGAGACCAGCCCATCTCAAAAAGGAGGAGGAGGAGGAAGAGAAGAAACCACGACCTATTTTATGTTCCTGCAGTAGGACTGACTGCATACCCATGAAAAGCAAAGGGTACGACCGGGTGAAAAAGAAAGAGTCAATATTCTACTTAAGAAGCCGGGCGTGGCGGCGCACGCCTTTAATCCCAGCACTCGGGAGGCAGGGGCAGGTGGATCTCTGAGTTCGAGGCCAGCCTGGTCTACCAAGCCAGTTCCAGGACAGGCTCCAAGACAATACAGAGAAACCCTGTCTCGAAAAACCAAAAAAAAAAAAATCTATTTAAGCCTGAACCCGAAGTCCCTCAGCTGTGGGCAAGAAAGAACTAGAACGAAATCCAGTCTCTACATTTTGACATACTCTTTCCTTGGTCTTTTACTGTCCCCACATCAGGCACAGGGGGACAAAGAGCCAATGGTCTACTACTATGACAGTGTTGTGTAAGCCTGCTATGTGGCCAGTCTCTAGATAGAAAGCCACATTTACAACATACTGATACCTTACAAATGCAGACGGAGCTCTCCGCCTTCAGTATTTTACCCACTTTGGCACGAGTATGGCCATCAAACGTCACAGTAAAGGAGAGACAGCCACGGGAAATTATTAATAGAAGGCCTATTCCATATCTTTGCTCTAGGGCCTTGTTTTGAGTAATTTACTGTCACTGAAGAATGCAGAGTCCGTAAGGCGTGGAAACCCTGGAGAGAGATTCACTCATAAATAAATGCTAACGCTTAAACAATAATGACAGCTTCAAACTCCAGGACAACCGAAATGAACACTATACACCGCCTGGGTGATTTATGACTGTGGCGTTTAGGGTCCAAACGGTGAGATAATTCAATTCCACCTGAAGAGTCATTATGTGACTGAGTCCTACGAGAAGTGATTTGGATAAGAGGGGATATTTCTCAGGTTTTCCATTTCAAACAGATTATTTCTGTATTTAGGGTATCATCCAGGCAATTCCTTTCGTGATTTGTAGCACTCTCAGGCAATTAAAAAAAATTGATAAGGTGAGAGAACTCAGGGACAAATGCCCACTCCAACCTGATCACAGAAGGAGCCTGGCAGTGCGCTGACCCCCGGCAAAATCATCCTTCCGAGGCAAGGAGGCTTGAACCGAGCAGGGAGCTTGCACAGCAGCAACAAGACAACTCGGCAGAAGCAGCGGCTACATACAGATTGCCCTCCAAACTGCCTCACAGAGCATGCAGAAGGCGCCTCCCAGGATGCGGAGCTTATGCTTTCCAGTGTCTCATTGGCCCATGGCAGCCTCCCCCCTCACCAGCTCACGCATAAACACCAGTCATGGTGTGGAATCTCTCTCTCTCTCTCTCTCTCTCTCTCTCTCTCTCTCTCTCTCTCTCTCTCTCTCTCTCTCTCTCGTTTTTTTGGAAGAGGCACTCATGTACCCCAGGCTAGCCTTAAACTCATCTGGTAGCGGGAACTGGCCTTTAACTCGTGGTCCTCCTGCCTCCATCTCTGGAGTGCTGCTGGGGTTACAGGCGTGAGCCACCACATTAGCTGAGGACACCCACAAGCAGGCAAGGACAGAGTGGTCCTGGCTGGCGGGAGCAGGGTTCCCCGGGTTTACGTACCATCCAGGCCATTGTGATGGCTGTAGTTTCTTTTCCCCAGGATGCTCAGAGAGGTGTGGTTCGGGGCGGTCAGCATCCTCTTGGTGGTTGGAGTTTGCAGGCTTGGTGGAGATCGAATTACATTAGGTTTCTTTGCAGGATGGATCTCTGGCGGGGGAGGAGGGGAAAGAAAGGTTTATCAGCTCAGAACATGGTATTGGAAATCTGTGTGGACTCTAACACCAGCTAACAGGCACACATCATCTTTCTTAATGAGCTGAGGGTAGGTTCCTCAAGAGCCTGCCGTGCGCTTGCATAATGAGGTAGCTTCAAGTGTTGTTACCATGGCTCTGCTTATCAAGATGCCCCTCCCCGGCTGGCTGGCTGGAGCTCTGAGCCTCACTCGGGTAGTGAAGACAAACAGAAAAAGCCACTTCAGAAGGTCACTTACAAACGCGAGATTTGCTAAGGGGGATAAAGCACCTGGCTCTTTGGTGCGCGAGGAATCTAAAGATCACTTGCAGGGGCAGCCCCAGGAAGCCCCGCACATCTGGTGTTGGAGCATTCTGAAAACACTCATTCCCTCCTCTGGCTGTGCCGTCAGGAGGTCTGGGGCCAGCACCGAATGCTCTTGGGCCAGAGCATTTTCCATAATGGATGAAATTTGACACCGAAGGCCAAACACCATGGCCCGAAACCTAGATGGCACACTTTGACCAAGGCCACGTGACAAAGCTGTACTGTGTGCCTAGCGCGAGGTTCAGGGTCTTTACTGCGCGACGTAACCCAGGACCACTTGCTCCTTTCACAGACGCGCAGAAGCCGCAATATCACAGGCAGTGGACTTCAAGACCTCTGGCCATGTTCCAAAGCTTCACCCATCTGCTGATCTTCAGGGCTGTCACCTAGCACATCAGCTACGCTCAAACCAGCCTGTCTTCAAGCCTGTTCAAGGTGAGGGCCAAAATAGCCAGATGTACGGAAATTTAGGAAAAGGCACTCAGGCTGTCAGAACAATTATACAACTTGGTCTGACCAAAATCTTTCAATTGTTAAAATTCAAGTATGGCTTGGGAGTACCATCTAAAACTAACACTGTCTTCCAACAGGGCAGTGATGGTTCACCAGCCTTACTTTACCCAGAGTTCCCTTAACCTCAGAGCCTTTGTCTCTGTAGTTCTTCCAACCTTGTGAGATGTGACAATATTGTTCCTATTCTCTTTTTTTCCTATCCATTTGAAACCTACAAAGCTTTCAAAGCTAGATAAACTACTATTGCTGCCAAGAAGGCAGACCTAGCCAGCACTTGCTAGGGACAGCCAGTCCCAGGGCAGCAGTAGAGGGCAATGGTCCCTTCCTTGCCTGGCATGCATGAGGTCTGGGCTCATCTGACCCCTCACCACACACACACACACACACACACACACACACACACACACACACACACACACACAGAGTCTTCCCTTCCAAGAGCCCAGTGCATTAAAACCTCTAGTTTATCACATCTCATGCTTTGTTTGAATGCTTTCACTGTGTGGTAAAGTTTGGAGGCAAAGTTTTATTTATTTGGTATCCCCCAAATCATGTTCTACAGTGTCTGGAATACAGCACACACAGAGATGGGGCTCCTTGGCTCAACTGGCAAGGACGGGACAGCTGGGACTTATCTAGTGGGGACAGGGGTAAATTTGCCCACAAGAAAGACAAACAGAAGGTGGTCTGCTCTACAGTGTTAACTCTTTCCTTGCCAGGCAAGAAGGGGCTCCCAGGAGTCGGTCCTGGAAGAGACTACAGCAGAAGCCTTCAAGACTGCATTACCCAGGACATGCTGAGAGCCCCGTGGAATGTGGGAGAACAGGAAAACAAGACTTGCTTTTCTTCTTTAATTTTTGTTTTGGAGGCAGGATCTCATGTAGCTGAGGCTGACCTTGAACTCCTGATTATCCCAAGTGCTGGGACTAGACGTGTATTCCCTGGTTGTTTTACTTTACTCAGGCAGGGTCTTGTGCAGGCCAGGGTGGCCTGGCCCTACAGAGGCTGAGACTCTCTAGCCTTTGAGATGTAAAGCAAGAGCTAAGGTAGCATAGCGACATCAAAGACGGAGCCACGGGCTTCTCAGTCAGATGGGGCATAACAAGTTCAAGGCTGCCCTTTGATTTTTCAAAGATTAGATGCCTGAAGTCTGAACACTTCAAACACCTAAGTCTTCCTGACAGCAAAATAAGGTTCGGTGCACCTCAGAGTATTTCCCCTTTACTGGTGAAATGAAAAAGAAATATTGGAATCTCAAAACACATGTTCTTCTCACTTCCTCTGAAAGAGAACTCATTATTTTTGCTCCATTTTATCTCAAAACTTTGGGAAAAGGCTATTACTGAGTAATTAATTCTTAGCACTCTTCTTGGCTATTATATTTCAACATGTAAATGGAACCATAATCTTTGGAGATTTCTGAGTCACATGGCATGATAGATATTGGAAAATAATGGAAATGCTTGCTTTCAACTCGGACAGTGCATCAAAACTGTAACATTCGTGTTTCTGAGGAACCGGGACACAAACCCAGGACACCTGGCATCCTGGTCACTTGTTCTACCACTGATCTATACACTTCAACTTTATGGGGGTGGGGGTTGCTTTGCTACTGTGATTTTCTGTTTGCTTGTCTTTTTGTTTGTTTGTTTAGTTGGTTGGTTTTTTGAGACAGGGTTTCTCTGTGTAGCTTTGTAGACCAGGATGGCCTCGAATTCACAGAGATCTGCCTGCCTCTGCCTCCCAAGTGCTGGGATCAAAGGTGTGCACCACCACTGCCCAGTTTGCTTTTGAAGGGGGAAGTTTTCTTCTGGGTTTTGTTTTGTTTGAGGCAGGATCCAGTGTAGCCCAAATGGGTCCTGAACTCATTATGTAGCCAAGGTGGACCTGGTACTCCTGATCCTCTAGTCTCTACTCAGAATGCTAAGATAAAGGCATATGCCACCACTCTTGGCTGCTTTTGGTTCTTGAGACAGGGTCTTGGTAGGCAGCTCAGGTGGCTTTGAGCTCGTGGCTCTTCCTGTCTCTACTGAGTGCTGGGATTACAGGCATGAGTCACTATGATTAGCTGCTGTTTTTCTTTTTCTGAATGTAAGTTGAAAATCAATTTAATTCAGTTTTTTACAACAATCCTCTACTTAAGGGGAAACGTAAATTAGAGACAGTATAAGGATCTAAATAAAAATTTAAATGTTTGGGATATTCGTCCTGTATTATTGAGTAGTTTAAAAATGTCCCCTCCCTTCTTTGTTAATTAGCTTTTTGTTTTTGTTTTCAGGCAGTCTCAATAGGTGCCCAAGGTGCCCTTGAGTTTACAGCAATCCTCCTGTCCCAGCCTCCAAGTGCTGGGACTATAGACAGGAACCACCATATGTGACCTGACTTTTCTTCCTTAGACTGTATCTATAACAGTTAATACAAATTGTAATTCATCAAACTTGTAGAAGAAGTAAACATATGTACTTAACTCTCTTCGCTGATAATGACAGTTTCTAGTCCAAAATAAAACTATACATATAAAGGCACCCAATTTCACCCCTTTGAAGGACTTGATGCAGTCCAGGTGTGCATTTGGAACAGAGAGATGTCTACAACGTGTAAAGGGTGTGTTGAGGTCTTCCTGTATTAGAAGATACCCACCTAAATACCCAATGATACACGACAAAGGTTTCCTAGTGCTTTTGCTTTTCAGTGGGCTTCCAGAAGGTTCAGCATGTCTGTCTGCATCTGAGGAGAGAAAGAAACACGGGACAACAAGTGAGATGGCTTCTTTTAGCTTTACCACACGCCACAGAAATAAAAGGTGCAGGTGGGAAACAAATGCAGGACATCCTCCACATCCCCACTACTTCCTCTGGGCTGGAGAAAACTGTTCTGAATCCCGGCTCCCTAGACTGACTGCAGGACTCACACATCAAAGTCGTGTGCTCACCTGCAAAGTGATGGAACAGGCTTCCTTTTTAGTTTGACATCGCTCATTATGATAGAAAAACACTCAAGGTGGGGCCAATCCTAATATGAGATTAATGTGACTTGGGAAAAGCAAAAACAAAAACAGCAAACAGCAGCTGGTAACGTAACACATTCAGTCACCCTCAGCTTAGCTGGAGTGCGCCCTTCTGGGGAAGCCTTGACCTATCTTGACACACTCAATTCCATTGGATGGCAGCCTGGCAAAGCTGTTTGGCTCTACCACTGACCGTTCTTCCTTCCACACAGTGATATTTGGGATGAGGCTTTAACAGTCCCTGTATGCTCCCAACAGCCACACTGTGAGTGAGGGCAGACCCTGGCCACTAAGTTTTCATCCCTTCATACCCTATCGTAAGATATTTCAGAGAAGCAACTGAGGCACGCAACACAGAGGCCACACTGTTGGAGCTGCCGCTGGGACAGAGTCAGTGAAACACTGCCTGCCGCACTGAAGAGCCGAGGCCAATGTAGTTTGAAGGGACAAAAGAAAACATGTATGGAGACTTCGAACAATCAGCCATTATCACAAAGCCCACCGGTTACTTTAGCTGGTGGTAATCGATGATGTTTAAGCTTTAACCCATCTCCAAGAGTTTGACAAACATGTCCTCTGGGTTTCCTGCTCCTATGGGGATCTTTCCCGTCTGCAAGCTGAGACCACACCTAGGCACACAGACAGAAGTTGCCTTCGACATCCATGGGTCTTCTTTGCATTTCGTGTCCAAACACACAACTCAGTATGGGACCTCAAATAACTTAGAGATCGACTTTGTTGTGAGCACTAGACCTTTTTCATCAAGGAAATGTTTTTGAAAATCTATTACACAGATGCTGTAAACAGCACTTTAAAATAACATTAAAATAGATAAAACACGGGGCTGGAGAGATGGCTCAGAGGTTAAGAGCACTGACTGCTCTTCCAGGGGTCCTGAGTTCAATTCCCAGCAACCACATGGTGGCTCACAACCATCTACAATTCAATCTGGTGTCCTCTTCTGGCATGTAGGCAGAACACTGTATATGTGATAAATAAATAAATCTTTAAAAAAAATAGACAAAACACATGCTGCAGGTAGGCTGGGAGTCTGAGTCGGTACCCCAAGCACTATCCACCTATTATGCAACCACTGACAGCTACAAATGATCCCATCCCCCCCCTCACTCGGTTGGTCACCTTTGGGAGGGTTACTAAGTTGTGAAGTTTTTCACCTGTCGCTGAATAATAATGGCGATAAGAACAGAATTAAGCATATTTTTAACAAGCCTATTAAGAAATACAATCTAAATAGAGATCAGAAACGGCCCAAACCCTGCACGGATCAGACACTAGTCAAACCACCAAACATTAACACCGAACGAAGCTCCTTCTTCATGTGACTACTTTGCCTAAAACTCTAGTTGTGTCTGGAAAGCTTTTGTTTTTCATCTTCTTCTCCATTAATTGAAGCAGCTTGAGTGAATCCTCTTGGTAAACTCCTCAGCCTCTTGAACAAAGGCACTCTTCATCATCCCAGGGACAAGATAAACTTTGACCTTTCGTCTTCGAGAACACCAGGAAAACTGTCAACATGGCTACAACTGACAAACACCGGGATATTGCTGTCACTTTGACAACAGCCAGCAAAAGCATCAAAGATGGCTGTGAGCTCCGGACCAACAGGGTTCACTCGGAACCACAGCAAACTGCCTTTTCAGCATTCTCAGGGAAAACTTACAAGTCCCCTCTGGAGACCAAAGCTCCCCAGCAGGATCCCTATCCCACTAATCTATTTTAAAGAGAGTTGTCGGTTAAATAAAAAATAAAGTAGCTGGCGTTGACAGTTATCAGTTATGAAGAAGTTAGGATTAAAAAGGGCTAAGATGGCCCCTAGCTCCAACGTAAGAAAAACGACAGCCATTCCGTAGGAAAAACACATTCTGGAATGTTCACAAACCGGATTATCTGATCCCCACTGCTGCATGTCTGGTCTACCTACCGGCCAGGCTACACAGAGCTTTGTGGCACTAGTCTTTCCTTTATCCCCAAATTACTCCTCATCTCCAGCTGAGGGCTGCCCACGGGAGCCGGAGGGAACCAAGACTGCCAGAGAGGATGGCGGAGTCCCACCGCGGCACTGGCTATCTCTTCAGCTCCCTACCACAGGGCCTGCATTCCTTTAGGCAAACATGTAAGACTATCGACACTTTGATGCCAGTTTCTGACCCTTTCCCTAACGTTCTTTTGGAAAGCCTGGGGGCGGAGGGAGATTTTAAATAGAAAAGCTGCAAAAACAGACGAAATTAAACGGCACAAACAATGACTGGGAAGATGGCTCAGTGGGTAAAAGTGCTTGGGCCTCAGTGTGACAACCTGAAATTCGGATTTTGTAATCCAAGCCTGCCCCTAGGGGGAGATGGGAGATAAAGGATGAGGAGTCTCCAGGAGCTCAAAGGTCAGCTAGCCTGGTTTCTGAAACATTGTCTCCAATGAGACAGGCAAGGGTTGACAGTTGAAGGCTGTCCTACTACCTCCACATAAGCTTGGGCATGTGTGTGTCCGCAAGAGTAAACACACACACACACACACACACACACACACACACACACACACACACACACACACACAGAGTAAAACTCATAAAAACATTGATGTGACCTTTTGAGATTTCGGTCAAACAAAGATCATAAATAGAATTTGCTTAAACACTGCACTCGGGTTCTATAACACAGTTTTTGAGTGAAATATTTAGCTGGGTGTGGTGGCATTTTAATTCCAGAAGCAGGTGGATCTTTGTGGACTCTGAAGTCACCCTGGTCTACAGAGAAACCATGTCTCTGTTTCTCTGTCTGTCTGTCTGTCTGTCTGTCTGTCTGTCTGTCTGTCTGTCTCTCTCTCCCACTCACACACAATGACGTTTGGAAAACACAACAAAAAGTCAATGACAAAACGGGAGGGAGCCATGGGTTTCACAGATCGAAAGTAACCATGCTAAGATAAAAATTTCCATGAATCAGGAAGACGTCTAGTAGGGAACAGAAAGGAGCAAAAGCAGTTGACAGGAACTACAGACAGCCTTCAAATCCTGGCAAAGACTTTCTATGTCACTAGCGATGCAAAACGGAAGCTGGTAGCTCTGCCTCATCCACATGACTGAGGGGGTCAAAGATGGGTAACATCTCCGCCAGGATTCGTGAGAGTTGGGCTTTCACTCACTCCAGATAGCAGCTGAGAGTATAAACTGGATATTCAGAAGACAACTGGGTAATGGATATTAAAATTAAAAATGCACGATAACAGTGGTTGCTTCTGAAGAACATATACCAAGAAGGAAAAAGATCATGTGATTTGAAACCAAAGCATAACTTATAAAATTTTTTAAGGGCCAGAGCAGTTATAAGCACAGCAGCTATAAGCACTTATTACTCTTGCAGAGGACCCAGGTTTGGTTCCCAAGACCCACACTGTTGCTCAAAACCATTCATATCGCTAGGTCCTGGGGATCCGACGCCCCCCTTTTGACTTCCATGTGCTGGACATACACGTGGTACAATACATACATACATGCACGCCAAATACTCATACACACAAAGTAAGTAAATGAAAATGTAAGTAACCACTCAAGAACAAATTCCCACTGAAGGTAAACACTATCAAAAATGGCAAGAGAAGCAGCCTAGATGGCTCTCCCCTGCCATTACAGAGCTTGCAATTTCAGGTAAGTCTGTGCAATTCCTAACAGTAACTTTTTTTGTCCCCATGTGACAAACAGCTCAAGGAATGGGGTCTTGGATGCTTTCAAAGTTGAATTCATATCTTCAAACAGAAAAAAAAATCTCTTTAAGGGACACAAAGTAACTTCATGATGGGGTTATGACTGCTTTCTTAACTCGGGACTTAATCATCTCTGCAAGCTAACAAGATCGCAGGCAAGTCATCCAGACCTGCTCCACTAGGGAGTTTAGCCACCCACGTCTCTGTAATACTGCTGGTGCCCTGTAAGTTAACTTCAGTGTGAGGTTCTGAATGTCAGGTAGCCATACTTCTGTGCCAGGCTGTAAAACAGTTTTGGTACATACATATCAAATATGTATTCTATATGCTTGTGTTTTTCTTTTGAGAGCGGATCTGGCATTAAACTCACTATGTAGCCCATGCTGGCCTCAAAGAACACCTCTGCCTCCTGAGTGCTGAGGTCACAGGCACCTGCGGGGAGGCTTACTTAATAGGAAACACATTCCCACAACAGATGAACAACGGGATAAGCCTCATCCTGTTTTCCCAAGCCTGCCACTTCCCCTCCCTCAGCTATTACTTCTTTAAAAAATCCCCTGTTCACAACGATGCAAGCCTTAGTGAATCCTCCTAGCTGAAAATAAAAGGCTGATGAGTGCTCCCATAACCAATCAACACAGTCCTCTTAAATAGGGGCCGCCCACTGAGAAACGCTCTCAGGTGCTGGGCCCTGCTACCCAGGACCAGCGAGCTCAGGGGCTTCCCTCTTCTGCATCCTAGTGCAGTAGTCCCCACAACACTGCTGCGGTGCTGTGCGGAGAGAACGGCTTTCCTCTCCAACACCCCTGGTTATTCAAACGTATGCACTGCAGCCGTATTCCTCAGTACCTTAGAAGTACAAGCGTCCATCTCATCTGAAAGTATACCCTTCGGCACTGTATCAGGGACCTTTATAGAAGGGCAGTCAACATTGCCTTTGAGAAACCAAGGAAAGTTTACTGGGAAAACACACACACACACACACACACACTCATGCTTAGACACACATACTCACACAGACACACCACACACATGCCCACACAATACACACACATACACACTTAAAAACACACATCACACGCATTGCCACATGATACACACAGACACACACACACACAGGGCTATTCATTTCCAATGGATCAGAGAGATTCAGTTGCTTATGGACATTAGGTTACTCACAGTTAGTCACACTACAGAACCAAGATAAAAACATCTATTGAAGAGGTTATAACAAAGTACAGAGATGAAAAGGTGACGTAAAAATCAGCCAGATGCAAGGAGAAGCGTTCAGTAAGTACAAGGTGAGCAACACTGAAAACTAAGTCGTAAGGTAAAAGTGCTTTAAAAGTGCGATTCTCCAAGTACTTCAATGAAGATAAGCACAAAGTAGAATAATAAAGGTTTTTTTAAAATGTCATCACAACAAATGACTGTTCTTTCATTATTATTTTCCATGTACTTGAACAAATAGAATATAGACAATTTAACCCTAAACCTATTTTTAATAGCATGGACCTTCACATGACAAAATATTAGAATGAAGCGACACAAAGACACAGTTCATTCAAGAACAAAGCTGACAAGCAAATAAATTGAAAGTCAACGAAGAGCCAAAGGCAAAAGCAGCCCTCACTGCAGCCAACTGTTGCTGACGGCTTCTCTTCCATTCCCTAGAAACAAAGATGATGCTGGACCCCAGTCAGTTGTGACGAGAGAATTCCATTTATTTTCCGTCTTAAATGTCTAAGTTATTCCCTTATAGAAATTATATAGAAATATGTGTTTTAAACCAGCTAAACAGTTTGAGTGGATATATTTACTTTCCAATTCCTTAAGTGAAAAAAAACCAAAATAACAATTCTTTGAACTCAGAAACGCCAGGACGAAATCAAAGGCAAGCCTAAATTTTCAAACATAAGCGATGTAACACCGCTGACTGCCTCCACATGGGAGATTGAATTCTCACTCTTCTTACAGGGTTTTTACCTTTAAACTTAAAAACAAAACAAACAAACAAAAAACAAAACCCCCTTCAACTTTCAGCTGAAATTATTTTTAGAACTAAGATATTCTTTTTCAGTCATCATTCCTTTTATGAGTATGCTCTTCATATCAAAGTGGGCATCTCACAATGAAATGCTTTTATATTTTGGGGTTTTTGAGACAAGGTCTCAAGTCGCCTAGGCTGGTCTGGGATTCCCTATGTTGCTAAGGATGACTTTCAACCACCGATTCTGCTGCCCCTACCTCCCCAGGTTTACAGGCACCCACATGCCACCATGCCCTCTTCATAATCAGCTTTCTATTTCACAGAATAAGCCCTTGAATGTCTTTAAGATTTTCTATCTGTGAAGCCAACAGCCATTTTTTTTAATCCTTTAGGGAGAAATTGTATGGCTCTACCAGCCAAGCCTGAGTCCTCAGCTAACACAAATCATGGGTCCGTTTTCAGATATGAGGCATTAAGCGAAGAGCCCACAGGTCAAGCAGGTAACCTTTGTTCTAACAGCAGCAACAAAAAGGAAACAAGCAAGACTGGGTGTGTTGAAAACAAGGAGCAGGGGTCAGAGATGCTACGAGATAATGTATGATACGAAATGGAAACCAGACTGGACAAAGACTGTTCAACCACAATAGGTGCTAACTTGCAAAAACTGAATGTGTGTGTTCAGGATTCCCTTAAAGAGGATTCTTAGATTTACTTAACATTTATTACACGGTCTAACAAACGGGGGATTAGTTATGAAGCACTGTTTCCTATAAACTGTAGGATAACTCTAAGAGGTTCCTGGGAAAGTAAGAGGTTTGCCAAGACAGGCTAGCTAGTATTAATTAGTATATTTTATTCAAACGCGATGAATCCTTAAGTCAGGACTATGCTGTCTCAGTAGGGAGTTTTATCATAAGACAACCCCTTGGGTTTACATTGCCGCACTCCCAAACAGGCAGAAGTGCTTCGGTTAAGGTCCCTCTGGACAATGTGTGATAAAGCCCACCTTCCCCTGCATTCTGATTAGTTCTACTCTGAAAATTCACCCGGATCTCAATGCTGTTTTTCAGGGTGGCATGATATAAATGGCAGCAGACAAGAACAATGTTTAAAAAAAAAAAACAAAGGCTGTACACAAGAACTTATGTTTATTGCAAACAAACAAACAAAAAGAGAGAGCGAGGGGAAAGAGAGGATGGTGAGAGGAGCGTAACGTGTAAGGTTAAGAATTGAAAAGCGTCTTACATTCTGCCCTAATGGCAGCATAATTAATAGCAACAAACGGCCGTCTCGCTGCCTGCCGCAGCCTCAGGGTGTTTTTGCAGACCTGCCGAGCAATTTTCGTGAAATATGTAGTATGGAGGAAGAAAGCTTGGCGGGTCTTCACTGCGGACTTGGGACTCCCAGTGTTCCGGACTGGCATGCCCTGCATGGCCTGCCGGGACAGGTGGCTTCTCACGCGTGGGTCCTGCAATTGTGGAAAACAAGGGGATTTACAGAGGAGAACTTGACAGAGCACACGGCCACTCCTGCAGTGTGTGTGTTCAACATCCTCAGAAGTGCTATCTCCAGACCGCAGCCCCCCTCCCAGGGAAAAGCAGCGTGTGCATTTGGAATGAGCGTGGGGGAGCACAGCACGGCAGGGTGGCACGCAACCCCAGCTCACATGCACCATCAGTGAGATGCTGCTGGGATTTACTGTGAGGGGTCCGGAGATGGCTGGTATCAGCTCGACAGAGACTAGCCTCACTCTGGTAAGAGACCGGCGCTTGACATCCTCAGTCTATGAGGATTACCAATTCCTGTTCACCCAAGATGGGGCTCTTCTTGTCCCTCCACAATAGCAGAGGGAAGAGAATGCTTAACTCCTGTTTGTTATTTTATGTAAAAAGATGTTTCCAACAGTATCTAAAGGTTACAAATTGTTTTCAAAAACAAGACTATTTATTTGTAAGCTCTCCACTGAGGCAAGAGCCTCCCACACACATTATTGTTTTGCTTGGATAATCTCAAGAGACCAATATTTTGAATACCTGGAAAAAAAAATCCGACTGCTTCCATGTTCACACTCACCCTGAGTATGCAGCGCTGGGTTTAACTCTAAAACTCGGCTTTGTTCGTTTGTAAATTGTTCTGTATAGCATTCCTGCTTCCGAGAAGTCACTAAGGGGAAACTGGCATCTTCGCCCCTGCGAAGAGTGCACTCACGTACCTCTGCGGTAGGACTGGGAGACTTCTGTTCTTCTGACTGCGTGGGCATTTTCAGGCCGCCATACTTTTTCCAATACAGCCAACAGGTTGCACACAGTCTACACTGCATATTAGGTGGACCCCAGGAGTACCACTGGTGAGACTGTGTGGCTAAAGACGGGAGAGAGACACTGTGATAAAGCCGACACCTCGGAGGCACAGCCAGCTTACAGTGTTAATCTTCTTTCCCAGGGCACAGTACACACATGGATTTCCCAGCACTCTGAACACACGGAGTCCTTTGTTTCTGCCACCCATCAGCGTTTGTCATGTCTATTTAGAGACGCTATTGGATGACACATCCTGATTTATGCCTTAGGCTGCTAAGATTTTGTTTTGTTAATTAAAAGTGGTTTCATTACGTACATGTCTAGCAATACGTCTTCTGAAGGATATTGCGGTTATTAAACTCCTCGGCAGTGTTTAAAACCAGAACAGTATGGTTCAGGAGCTCTTGCCAGGATGGCTAAGGAACTCAAGAAGGGACTCACTGGTAAGTCAGGAACTAGATAAAACTAGAAATCTTTCTGTTGTTCCTTTACTTAGAATTTCTCCCTAGACACAGATTGCCCTGAAGACTATAAATCCCCATCAGTTGAGCGAGTACCTGCAGCTGACGCGGCGTCATGGTTGGTAAGGCCTGACCCCAGCCGACCGACTGCTTGGCTGGACACGCACGGCCTGTGTCAGGCTCTGCAGCTTAACCCTGTCCCTAACACCAAAAGCTTCCCAGGGCAGAGCCAAAGAGAGGCGGGAACAGCAGTGGTGAAAGGTAAAGACGGCAGGCATAGACCATGACGCTAACTCTGCCAATGGCTCCCCTAGGCTGTCAGTTACCTCCATCTGGGCAAAGCTGCCAGCGAGCACAGGAGGGTGTCAGCTAAGGAACACCTCACAAATAACACTCAAAGGGGAAAGGCGAGCTGTAATACGGCTCAGTGACATGCAAAGGCCCTAGGTCTGGTCCCTACTGCCACCCACGCCGAAAGAGCGAGAAAATATAGTGACTATTACATTTAATTGCCTTTATATAATTCAGGATAATTTACACATTCATTGTGTGACACTCTTTTGTTGTTGTTTTTTTGAGATACCCTGGCTGTCCTGGAACACCCTCTGTAGACCAGGCTGGCCTCGAACTCACAGAGATCTGCCTGCCTCTGCCTCCTGAGTGCTGGGATTAAAGGCGTGCGCCATTGCCACCTCCACCACCACCCAGCTATCATATACTACTCTTGGAAGAATGCTTTTAAAGAGAAGACTAACCTCCTTTGCTCTTTTAACTTAAACAATAAAGTTGACTTTTTAAGATTTTATCAAAATGTTTTAATTACATGTATGTGTATATGAGTGTAAGAGTCCTTGGAGGCCAAACGTGTTGGATGCCCTGGAGCTAAGGTTACATACAGGTGGCCATAAGACACCTGAAACACGTGCTGGGAACCAAAAAGTTCCTCTACAAGACCAGTGTGTGCTCTTACCCACCAAGTCACCTCCCCAGCCCCCAAGTTAACTTTGTTTCAACATAAATAAGGACACCCGAGGTCGTCCCCTAGCCTACACAAATGTACATGCACACATACATACATCTGCCTGCATACACACGTGTACCCACTTAGGAACACGCACATAAAGAAGAAATGTCATTGTGCTGTGGTGGCACGTGCCTGTGATCCAAACTCTCGGGAGGCTGAGCCAGGAGGATGGTGAGTTAGAGGCCAGGCTGGGCTTCACAGGGAGACCCTGCCTCAAAAAACCCAACCCAAAGCGACAATAACAGAAAGGAGAGCTACTGTTGCTTGAGGTTTTAAGTAAACATATATGGTGTCAACTACCAATCAGATCATTTCAAAGACCCTACACAACACAAGGGCATACATAATGACCTTGCAAACAAAGATAAATACAGCAAGGCCTGAAGCCCAAAGCAAATGTCATAACATGGCATTTCCCCAACTCATCCCTGGGAGCCTGAGTCCTGGAGCTCTGGTTTCTCCACACACCTGCCTCTCCTCCAGAAGTATCCAGCATATTTAATTTGTCAGAGAACACTGAGGAACTCCCAAAGGGGATTTGGTATATCTCAGTACCATAGTTTGGGTTAAACTAATATAACCTCACCAGCTAAAACAACAACAACCTACCAGCAAACTCAGAGACCACATGAGAAACCAGAGCAAATGCACACCTACCTTACCTGTGTGGTGCGAGAGTACTCAGACAATGTCCCTTTGCTCCCAGCGGGAGGCTGGGACAGTACCCGCACTCTGCAGAGACATTGCCTGCATCTGCACAGCAGTGACATGCTTCTAGAAGCTTCTCACCAACCCCCCGAGCGCATGCTCACACGCGCGAGTGCGTGCACACACTGACACACACACACACACACACTCACACACAGTATAGGACACCTCCCATACTTCACCGGGCACCGCCTCTGAGCAAACTCACCATAGCAGCTTTCACAGGCTCGCCCTAGGAGGGTGTTCTGGGGCTGGAACGTGGTCCCCACAGCTCCGTTCACAGTGCCAGACTTGCCATTGCTGGTGGATATTTGGTTGGGATTTGGTTTGCTGCTTTCGACGAAAGGTAAGGTGAAATGAAAAAATTGATTTGTAGGACAAGGCAAGAAGCTGGCACCTCCTCGCTAATTTACCTTCCCCAAATACAGATAAACACTTATTATATTTAGTGAAGAAGAAACAAGCTGGCAAAAGCAGGATACTAAGATGAACCCAAGTATGGGGGCCGTAGAAGACAGCGAGCAAGAAGTATAATGGCAGGCATGGGCAAACATGCTGCGATGAACCCAGCACTTTGTACACTAACCTAAGAAAATAGCAAAACAAAAAACTTAAGGAAACACACACACACAAACCACCCTGAAATACACTGGCACACATGGCTCCAGGAACTTACATAACTGAGGGTGTGTCTGGTAGAATGATAAGAAATAAATAAAATGCAGTAAAGCCAAGGCCCTGATTTATACCAAATAAAGCTATAAAATAGCCATGGTGCTGGGTATTCTAAGGGAAACGGGTCCACACCTGTGGCCACACCAGGGCCATTTCTTCATTGCATACTGCTTGCCCAGCACACACCATTAGCAAACAGACTCAGTGACTAGTATACAAAGGTCTGCCACAGAAGAGCTTCCTTCTCGGGGACCTTCATCTCTGTTACAAAGTGAAACACTGTCTCAAAATAATAGAACAGAAGGGTTTTTTGCTGTTGTTTTGTGTGTGTGTGTGTGTGTGTGTGTGTGTGTGTGTGGTGTGTATGTGTGTGTATATGTGTGTGTGTATGTGTGTGTGTATGTGTGTGTGTGGTGTCTATGTGTGTGTGTATGTGTGTGTGTGTGTGTGTGTGGTGTGTGTATGTGTGTGTGTGTGTGGTGTCTATGTGTGTGTGTATATGTGTGTGTGGTGTGTGTGGTGTGTATGTATATGTGTGTGTGGTGTGTATGTGTGTGTGTGTGGTGTGTATGTGTGTGTGTGTGGTGTGTATGTGTGTGTATATGTGTGTGTGTATGTGTGTGTGTATGTGTGTGTGTGGTGTCTATGTGTGTGTGTATATGTGTGTGTGGTGTGTGTGGTGTGTATGTATATGTGTGTGTGGTGTGTATGTGTGTGTGTGGTGTGTATGTGTGTGTGTGGTGTGTATGTGTGTGTGTGTGTGTGTTCTTTAGAACCAAAGGAAAAGGAGTGGGGCCAGAGGCAGAGGCAGGCTGATCTCCAGGAATTCCAGGCCAGCCTGGTCTACACAGTGAGTTCCAGGCCAGCCAGGGCTATGTAGAGAAAAGAAAAGAGTGGTTCAGAGACACTAACGTTCCCAAAGAGGTGTAACTTTTCCAATTGAGAAGAAATCTGCCGAGTAGCAGTTGAAACCATGCTCCCACCACTTGAAGTCAAGCCAGAAGTTTCCCAGAAATATGGAAACTTAGCATTTAAGCGCAGGGCTAAATATATGAATCTAAGAAGAGCTAATGTAGGCCTGGAGAGATGGCTCGGCGGTTAGGCGCACTTGCTGCTCTTGCAGAGGACCTGGATTTGATTCCTAGCACCCGCACAGTGTCTAGAAACCATTCTTAACTCCAGTTCCAGGGGATCTGATGCCCTCTTCTGACCTCCCTATCCTGGTATGATACACAGACATACAAGTGAGCAAAATGCTTATACACGTAAAATACATAGATAAATTTAAAAGAAAAAGAGCCGATGCCATCTTCAGTTGAGGTGCCGGAAAGAGGCAAGAGGCACTAAGACAGCCAGCTTTGCAAATGGGCCCAGGATACTGCTTGGTTGAATAAGTCACTGGAACCACAGTGACTCCTGCAGACCTGAGGACCACTGAGGAGAGCCACCCAAGATTAAATCCAGGACACAAAGAAATGCTTCAAGAGATACTCCATGAAACCGTCCTTCCTTTAACTCCCCTTCCCCTAATCTGTGCTCCAGGCTCCCACCATCTCTGCCTGGAACATTTTGGACATATCACCATTCTCCTCCGTGGACCCTACTCAAATTACTATTTGCACATAAGGGCAGTTATGAATGGTTGTGAGCCACCACGTGGGGGCTGGGAATCAAACCCAGATCCTCTGCAAGAACAGCAAGAGTTCTTAACCACTGAGCCACGCCTCCATCCCAACACTGGTTCATGCATTTATGTTTTTTAAATCTTTTCCCATTTGATAGCTTCTCCCTCTGCCATTAGCTTGTCTCTGCTGGTGAATAGTTTCCGCCACCCCACTACATCATGGTGACTTGTCAATCACTATGTTCCTGGTTACACCTCACCAGCATCGGGCAACGCTTATCACACGGCTCCCTTGAAACACAACCTGCCTCTCAGCTCCCATGACTCACTGGGTCATCCATTTGCAGCTATGAAACACCATTTGCTATATAGCAACTGAATTTATTCAGTTTCCTGCAAAGTCCCTTTCTGGTTGCTTTAGTCTCTTTCTGGTTGCTTTCCCCCAGAGATCTAACCTATGACTTGAAGTGGAAGCACTGTGTACCGTGAAGGTCACAGAGCTCTAGCCTAGCCCTTTCCCCTGGGTACCATCAGCATTTCAATATATCCTGTACACATATCCATTGTCTGTTTTGATAGAACAAGCTCAAAATGGCCTAACCTAATATTATGCCACCATTTCTGAGCTCAGTGGCACTCCATCTAATGGTGGACTCAGACTTGATGTGCCAAAGCCAGTCACCTCCTAATACAGTATCATTTCAAGAGTCCTTTCTAGGCCGAGCTGGGGTCATCTCTGCTCCTGAGAACCCGTTACTGGTCTCCACTACTGTTTCCTGGATCCACATTCCAAATGCAACCTGGGATCTTTTTCAAGACCATGACACGTCTTCCTTTAAAATTCCTCCACTCTTCATGTCCTGGGCACCCCGTACTGCCTGCCCTCCTTCCGCACAGCTGGCTAAGCTAGCTACTCATTATACACTGCTTATGCCATCTTTCTCTGGGCTCCTCAACTGTGCCCAGCCCTGGCCCAGCTCAGGAGACCACTAGCCTGGAAAGCCTGTGTTGGCTGTTCAGTACCTCTGCCGGCAGCAGACGGCACCCATACTTCCTCAGGGACTCTTTCCTGGGGACATAACAAACTACTCCCCCACCCCCACCCCCACTCCCAAAAGCTATCTTCTTGGTCACTGCTCTCAGCATACAAGGTCTGTACTTTGTGCCTCCAAAGGGCAGCCAGTAGTCTTAACTTTCTATCCCCAGGACTAACACAAAGCTTTGACTGTAGGAGACTGTGGGTCACCACCAGGCTCAAAGCACGAGGAAACAGAGAATTCTTAATCTATTAAAAACAAAAACAAAAACAAAAAACAACAACCAAAAAACCAAAAAGCCAAAAAAACAATGCTCTATTTCCGGAATAACTTGAAAATTCATTGAAGGATTCAGACAATGCATAATGATGCGGTTTTTTTTTAAATGAGTATGATTAGAAATTGCTTGTTCTCTGAGGGTCACTTAAATCAGGATATTGAAACTTTTCTGGAAAGGGGCTCCATAGTTAAGACTTTCAGGTTTGGGGTTAACAGAGTCACAACCACTAAGTTCTACGCTTTGAGTCAAAAGCAGGCTTGGACAATAGGTGATGACCAAACAGGCCTATGCTCCATTGAAACTTATTTATTCTATCCAGACTGGTTCTGGGTCCCTGACTCAGATAAAGATACCAAAGCCAATAAAAGCTGAATAGAAACAGGCATGGGGTCACTGGGCCTTAGCAGGCTGGATGCTATCACTGCGGGGCTCGGGAAGGCTGCTTCACAAGAAGGTTCACACTTTGTGTCACAAACACTGTTTTCTTTGTGGAGTGACACATCTAGAATTCATAAAGTAGATATATAATTTTAAAGGATCTCAAGGCGACCCGGAAGAAACTGGATAATTAATTATGGGACAAGTAAATTCCAGTTTTTAAAAAGTAAACCAAAGCTGAACTTTTGATCCCAGCACTTAGGAGGCAGAGACAGGCCTGAGTTCAAGGCCAGCCTGATCTACATAGTGAATTCCAGGATAGCCAGGACTACACAGTGAGACCATATCTTGAAAAAAACATAAAAACCAAAACCCAAGTGCCCCCCCACACAAAAGAAAACCCAACAGAAACATAACAAGTAAACCAGTTATATGTATATATACACCTTGAGGTAAAAGATCATTATGAAAGATCACATTTCATTGTCCATGAAGCCTCCTATATGTAAAAACATGTGTTATGCAACATATCCAACTCCAGCAGAGAATAATCTATATAAAATGACTGTATATAGTTCAAAAAACTAGAAAAACCTTGGAGCAGCAGAGAGAACGTTGTAAATCTGAGTTACCATATCTAAGACCTCAACAACAGAAAAGTACAATGCACTTAAAACAGAGCGAGTGAAAATGAGGTTGACATTCGCTCCTACGGGAAAATTGCTGGTAAACCCGGAAGACAAAGACAGAATACTGGATATGGGAAACAATCAAAACCTACTGATGATTTACAAAGCAAACAATGTGGAGTCCTCAACGCAGGCAACACCCCCAAAGGAATGATGCACGCTAACGCAACAGCACTCAGCCCACAGGGCAGGAGCCTCAGGAGGAGCCAGCTCTGTGGAACACATTAGCTTCTAGCAACAGACTTCGCTGCTCTCACTGAGGAAGCGGACACTTGCCCCGTAGCTCAAGACAAGAACAACCGGAGGCGAGTTTCCTCTTCAACACTTATGCCGGGCTGCTCAGGGTTCTGTCACCTACTCTGTTCTTTCCAACGTCATTTCAATGGGACGACAGAAAACAACTTTTGGGTTTTGAGAAGGAAAAAGGTGAGACACATGGAGAAACGCAGGCTTGTCACAGTGAGTTAATGACGCGTCTGGAATGACAGAGTTACGAGCAGGGTTAGCATCTCGGGCTTCGGTTACTTACTAAGTTGGGATGTACACTTGCTTCAACCTGCTCTCGGCTTCGGCCGCTTTTAGTCGTTTCTAATTCGAGAGATGGACAAAACATTTTACGTGAAGCACACACTAATTATTAACATCACATAGCCTTACAAACACAAGAAGATAAACATTACAGCACAATTCATTATCTTAAGACTCCTTACACATACGTAATCCTAAAACTTCAGTAGCTGGAGAACGTCATTAGCTTCTAAGCTACAGAACTGTAAGCACACATAGAATTTTTGAAGTAGATTTTCGAAGTAAAGCAATGAAAAGCTCTACTTCCCAATTGTCTATAAGGAAACTAGAAAGGACTTGTGTGTGTGTGTGTGTGTGTGCTTGTGTGTGTGTGCATGTGCCTGTGTGTGTGTGCATGTGCCTGTGTGTGTGTGCATGTGCCTGTGTGTGTGTACATGTGCCTGTGTATATGTGCATGTGCCTTGTATATGTGTGTGTGCGCACACACCTGTGTGTGCCTGTGTGTGTGCACCTGTGTGTGTGTCTGTGCGTGTGTGTGTGAGTGTGAACAAGGGGCTTCCCACACGCTCAGCATGTACTCTATCACTGAGTTTCACTTCCGCCCTCAGAGGACATTAACAATAGCCATTCTTATTTTTGTAAATTCAGTTTTCTATTTTAGTTCTTGTCTTTCTGGAAGGAATATAGGCACAGACACTGTCTCACCACCAACACACACACGCACACACATACACGCACACGCACACACACAAAACAAACAAAACTTTGCTTGTAGAAAAACATTTAGAGATAGTTTCTAAAATCTATGCCAGAAGAAGTGACTACAGTTACTCTAAATAAAATTAAATAAAGCATTACCCTCAAATGAAGAACCATATGTGGTAACTGTTGGTCAGTTCTGAGACAGGGTTTGCCTATGTAGCTGAGACTGACCTGGAACTCATTACTGTGTTGGTCAGCCTTGCCTCAAACTCCCAAGGACAGGGATTACAGGTATGCACCCCTATACCTGGTTCTGCAGTAACTTTAGACCTTGGCTGAACTCACAACAGGTTGTACTGAAGTCAACTAGGAACCAAATGCAGGGAAAGAGTAGGAAGGAGAACACATGTTCAGGTCTAGAGCCCAACCAGCGTGAAACGAAAAGCAAACAGGAAGGGGGACATTGCTCGGTCCCCAGAGAGACTACAAACCCACCCTCCAGTTATCCAACCAGTTAAAAATAAAAACGCTCAGGGACGACCTGAAACTTCAGCGGAGCCAACATTTTTTGGAAAGCAGTCTTTTTCAGGCACATTTAACTAAGTGCCATTAGCACTGTGTCTGTACCTTCTTTGGGGACACTTCCTGACTTGAACAGCACAGGTTTCCAGACAGCACAGTCTTCATTCCCACCACAGTTGTTTAAAATATGCACTTTCTGAATTACATATGGTGTTGACACTGGAAATTGTTCAATACGCTGTAGATTTCTATTCACTATTCATGACCACAGCAACTCCTGGCACTTGGGAGTGATCCTTAAAATATGCATTTGTATAGCATCCAGTACTTGCAACTGTACAGCTTGCGCATTCAGGCAAATGTTGTCTGTTTTTAATCTTTGCCTTGCTCTGCATGTGACTGCAAGTTCATGTGACCTCGAGAATCTAAAACAGGCATTTGCTGAGGTCATTTCAGAACTATGTCTTTCCCCAAAGGTAGATTTTCCAAAATTAGCAACTAAGAGATATCTGAATTTGGGACATTTGGGAAACTCAAAACGGTTCCCTAGTTTTGGATGACTTTGGAGGAGAAAGCATCAAATTATGAAAACTAAAGCTACCATACCCAGGTTTGGTGGCAGACACCTGCAGTCCTAGTACTCTGAAGCAGGGGGAACTCAAGTTTAAGAACAGTCTGAGCTGCCCTGCCTGAGCTACCCAGTGAGATCCTGTCTCAAAATAATAACATTAATGTGTTACAATTAGGGTCAAATTAGCTCAGGGAAGGACTGGGCGTGTAGCTCGGTGGCAGAGCGCCTACCTACCATACCATATATAAGACCCTAGGTATGCTCCCTAGCACCTGGAGAGGGGACCAGGTGGGGCAGAAACTCGGTCTACAGGAACCTCAAATGGGGGGTTGGGGGGCAGGTAGAGCTCATGGAACAGATGTACTATGGAAAGAGGGTTCCAAAAATCATAGCAGTGTCTGAATTTATAGGTTGACGGCCTCCGGCTCAGTTTTCAGTCCATAAGAATGCATAATCCAGGGGTTCACAACAGGGCTGGATTTCCAGTAAACCCCACTCATCACAGAGAAATGAGGCCCCCGCCATACAAGGGAAATGAGGCCTCTGTAGCCACATCTCTCTCTGTCATCAAACTGTCATGAAAGCAAATGCTGAGAACGGTGAACTATTAAGATGAAAATATTAAAAAGTATATGCTAAAGACAGGAACTTGTGGAATTTAAAGTAGCCTAGGAAAGACCACACAGGCTCAGGATTACTACATTGCTAACCAAGCCTGAAACAAACAGGAAGTGCTCAGTAATGTAATGGGGCTTGTGTCGTGAAAGTTACCTGCTGCACGTATCTGTCAGTAGTTTTCCACATGTAATAATATTCAATGATGCTAGTCAAGGACTTCCACGGGAGCTGAAAGACATGAAGATGATAATGAAAACAACCCACCGCATAGAGCATTTTCCTTCAAAACCATTTCTTCGAAACGATGTAGCAAGCATCTGTGTATTAGACTCATTCTAGAAAAGAAAAACTTTTGGAAAAAAAGCCACAAAATTAATTCTTTAGCAAAAGGTATTCATAGTATTTAATAAGAGATCCAGTCCAATGCATGCATCCCATTTCTCATCAATTTGGTTAAAATTACAAACATCATCTCTGGGAATATTTCCTGGCTTAGTCAGGAAAGTTTTAGCCCTGTGAAGCAGTGACAGGAGGGATTGAAGCACAGTTAATTAACTAATTAAAATGGGCCTTTTGCATCACACTCTCTGCTCTGCCTTGGGCTGTACCGTCCCCTCTGATGCATAATTTTAGAAATATAATTTAAACAGTTTGAAGCAAAGAGGTATTGCAACTGGGTGTCTTCTGGTCTCTGGCATAGTATTTCTCAACACTTTCCTGACAACTCTCTTTGGTTTATTATAAATAAAACAACAGGCTACAACTTTGGGGAAAAGTACATAGCTAATCAGGTTTCCTATTAAGAAAAGTAAGCTTGCCTTTGCCATTTTCCATAATATTAAAAAAAATCCTACTTATGAGGCCTCCAGCAAAGAACACACTCCTTACAGCCTCTGTAAATGAGGTTTATTTACCAAGACAATGGAGAGTGGCTGGCCTCCACAGAGACAGGAAGGATCGAAAGGGCCACCTTGAGCTGTGGCGGATTTTGCTAAGGTAACTCAGCCCTCTGACTCGAAGCACACCATAAGGAGCCAGTTAAAACTGTACCCTCGGTCGCCTTGGCAGCTGTGGGGCTGCTTGGGACCTATCTGGCAACATCTACGACATCCTACACCCTCCCTCCGCTAATTTCTTACATGTTTGTTCTAAAGAGAAACCAGGAATTTTAGAGGAAGGCTGATCCGGGTAGCAACTTAGACAGTAGTTACAGATGCAGTTTCTTTGCAGGACCATGAATGACATAGCCACGAGCTTTCAACTGCAGGTTAGACAAATAGCTGTTCAGGATTTTTGGTTTTAAACTCAATGCACTCATCTAATAGAATCTGAAAGATACCCTCAACGGGGCCCCAGGTCAGTCATGGAGTGGTTTCTAAGCCATTAGTGTCGTCTCTCCTTGAAAAAAAAAAAAGGATCTGTCACTAATTTACCTGGAAACCCAAGAAAAAGAAGCCAAATGACCTTGTAAACCACGCTATCAGACACTGTATTTCATTTAGTCCGTGGAGTCCATACAGGCCATGCCCAGCACCAGCTCCTTTCGACCAAGGACAGTGGCAGGCAATGACTCAGCATCACCCCTCTCTCAACCTCTCTTATGGCTCCTGTGACACACACTCACCAAAGAGGTCAATGCCTATTGGATGGTGCCTATCCAAATCATACTGCCACAACACCGCAGCCAGCAAGGGCCCAGCAGAGCACACCACCCTCATGATCTGAAGAGAAGGAAAACTACTCCAGGTATGTAAAGCGTGGTGGTGCATGCCTGTAATCCCAGCCTTAGAATTCTGAGGCAATAGGATCAAGTCTGAGGCCAGCCCGGACTACATGAGACCTCTCAAACCCCAAAAGAAGGGGTCTGGAGAGACACATTTGCTGCTGTTCCAGGAGTCTGTCTCGGTTCCCAGCATCCACATGATAGCTCTCAACCTCCTGTACTTCCAGTCCTGGGGGGTCCAATGTCCTCTTCTGGCTTCTATGGGCACTAAGCATGCACGTGGCGTGCAAACATACATGCAGACCAAACACCCATATATGCAGAATAAAAGTAAATAGCAAAAAGAGAAGATCTCCAAGTCTTGCGGTTCAGATGACTTCTTATTCATCACTGCTCCAAACAGTGCAATTGGCTAAATATGCAGATAATGCAGACATAACAAAAGGCAACGAACCAAACAGATGAACTGGCTTAGTCATGTGTGCTCGGGGCCTGGAAGAGGTGAGAGCTGCACCCGTAAATGGAGCAGACGGTGAAGCCATGGAAAGTCAGCAGCATCGAAAGGACAGTGTATCACCTGGACCCCACAGAAGAGTCCCATGGGAAGATATGATGGGCTTGTCGGAATAATCCTGCAGCTAGCCAGGCAGTAAAACCCATCAGGTGAGAACTGGGACGGGGATGGGGGCTAGAAGACTAGCCGAGGGGAGACTTTCCTGGTGGTGAGGAAAACTGATGGGGGCTGTCCTTCTGTATACGTTTCTCTTACTGGTTGATGAATAAAACACTGTTTGGCCAATAGAGTCAGGAAGACGGGTGGGGCTAGGAGACCAGGAGACAAAAACGTCCCAGTGTATGTTCTGTAGACCTTTTAGAGAACAGGCGATTGCTCTTTTCAACTCACTGATGAAAATCTATGAGATGGGCGCTATTAAAGAAGAAACACCCTACAAAGGCAGAGAGACAGAGACAGAGAGACAGAGACACAGAGAGACAGAGACAGACAGAGAGAGACAGAGAGAGACACAGACAGAGACACAGAGAGAGACAGAGACAGACAGAGAGACAGACAGAGAGACAGAGACAGACAGAGATACAGAGACAGACAGAGACACAGAAAGAGACAGAGAAAGACAGAGAGAGACAGAGAGAGAAACAGACAGAGACACAGAGAGAGAGAGACAGAGAGAGACAGAGAGAGAAACAGAGACAGACAGAAAGAGACAGAGAGACACAGAGAGAAACAGAGACAGACAGAGAGAGAAACAGAGACAGACAGAGAGACAGAGAGAGAAACAGAGACAGACAGAAAGAGACAGAGAGACAGAGAGAGAAACAGAGATAGACAGAGAGAGACAGAGACAGACAGAGACACAGAGAGAGAGAGACAGAGAGAAACAGAGACAGACAGAGAGAGACAGAGACAGAGACAGACAGAGACACAGAGAGAGAGAAACAGAGACAGAGAGAGAGACAGAGAGACAGAGAGACAGAGAGATGAGCCTGCCTCGTCACTCAAGTGCTGCTGGCACTACTCTAAACAAGCGCTCTGAGGGAAAGACTCTTGCCAAGAGAACTAACGTAGGGAACACAGAGGCACCGCATTCTGAACTGTCACCGGAGCACACAGAGAAACAGGAAAAAACTTTCTCTTTAGCACTTCTCAGCTAGCGGTGGGATTTGTCATTGCTGTTGAGGGAGGGGTTCAGATAGCCCAAAGTGGCTCAAACTCGGCATATACATAGCTGAGAATGGCCTTGAGCTATGGATCCTCCCCGAGCGCTGGTTTTACAAGCATTGACCCCACCATATTTGGCTCCAAATTTGGTTCTTTATAACAAACAAACAAAACCACTTATCTATGTCTTTGTTTGTTTGTTACAGGTGCGGGTACATCACACAAGGACAGTTTGTGGTATCAGTTTTCACTTTCTGCCGTGTGGGTCCCCGCCATGGATCTCGGGTTGTAAGGCTGGACAGTTATAAGTGCCTTTACTGGCTGAACTACCTCACTGTTCCTAGCAAAGGGCCTTCGGGAGATCTTTGAGCTTACACTTTTAGCTCTATTATGCTCATAACTTTTGTATCAACAGCACCGTACTGCTATGACGACTTGGCCATAAGCCTTTAATCAGGTCTTGAACCTAAGATCTCCCCGCCTCAGCCCCACCTGACTATTAGGATTACCGAGATGCATCACCTACCTGGTTTTAGAATTTAGTGTTATAGCTTGTAACAATCTAGGTGTGACTGAGATTTTGTCAGGACAGAGCTCATTGCTAATAACTTACATGTACTGTGCCTGAAATTTAATGTATTTATACATATTGATAGTTAACAATTGTTTTAGAACTAATTTGAGGGATATCCAACAAAATGAAAGGCAGGATGCCAGCTCTTATCTACGTATGATAGTTAAGGAGTGGACCCTTAGGCGGGTATACAATGTTATACACCTATAATCCCGACACTCGGGAGGCAGACACAAGATGACCTGCCCAGGTTCAATACCAGCCAGGGTTACATAGTGAGGCCCTACCACAAGCACACAAACAAATCTATTTCTACAATTAAAATGAAGGGTGGCTATTATAGAAAGTAATTTATGAAGATCTCAAGCAAAATGTCTTTTTCAAGGAGAATACATTTAACTAAATCAAGCAAGACACCTGGGGTGGCTGTGCAGTTATAACGCCAGCTACTCCAAATGCTGAGGCAGGAGCTGGGAAGTCCGAGGGAAGCCTGTGCAACTGAGTAAAACTGACAAAGACGGTGTGAATGGGCCTGGGTTAGGATTCTGTGATGGATGCTCCTAAGGCACCAGAAAGCTCGGGTTGCCCTCTAGCACTGGAATCTTAAAAAGTCCGTCTTCCTCAGCACGAACGCACGCATAACGCACGCATAACAGTAACATGTTAGGTGTGGCCATTATTTCCTGGTGTACGTACATCACACTGTGCAACATGAATACACAATCCCTCAATGAATCTGAAAGAGGAATAAATTTTAGACGTAGTAAGATTCTGACACTGCACATCATTAAGAGTCAAAGCTGGCTGGGAACTGGGAAGCAAACCCGGCTCTTCTGCTTGGTCAAGTCACACCTACGAGTCCACGTCAGCGGCTGGCAGCACAACTAGGGGGAGTGTGAAGCAGACAGAACAGAGAGAGAACACACAGACCGCAAGTTTAGCACTAATGCTCAGAACTGCCCACATCTCTGCTTGGAAATCAGCGCTGCAGAGGGTAAACTCATGCAGCCAAGGTGTATTCCAGCAGCTCAGGACTCCTCGCCCCCAGGTCGTATCCTCCGTACAAAGCACATGTCAACTGCTTCCTTTATAAGGGACCCTTCATTTTATTTTAAGCAAATAAAGTTACTGTCTGGGCTGAAGGTGTGATTCAATGGCAGAGCACATTCTCAAAGCCCGTCTTCCACCCCTGGCACTATAATGAACTTGTAGCTGTGGTCACACCCTTTGGGCGTGGTTTCAGGTACAGATGTGACTCATTAGAAGGTAGAGGAGGGGCTGGCTCACGCTCTCCACTCTCTTGGGAAGGGCAGAGACTGCATCATCTGGAGCAGGAAGACTGCGGCGGTTATTTACTCTTGTCTGTGTGAGTTCTTCCCTAATAAACACCCATTTATCATTTATGTTGGGTCTGGTGGACTCATTTAAACCCTGCCTTCAATTGGTACCCAATTGAGGCCACAGGCATGCTAAATATGTAAGAGTCAGTAAACAGATAAACAATATTCCTGTCCCAACGGTTCACTCACGGTTTTCCACTTACAAAGTCCTGACGGATGTCGTTGAAGTCTTTGCCATATTTTTCCAGTGCTTCTTCGAATAAGCTGGCTTCAGAGGCCGACCACTCCTCCATCTCATCTCTGCACAGGACCGGCCCTCCAAGTGGCACCAGGACACTTATGGCACTGCTCAGGTCATAGCTGTGCCTATACAGCGTATCCATGGCATGGAACTGGAGAGAAGACACACAGGAAAGAAAAGTCAAGTGGGCTTGTATACCTGCAGGCCAGCAGAAACCGGAACACTGGATGCAGGATATGCATAATTAGCGGCATCTTTAGGACTTCCTTTTAAACAGCAAAATCAAACAGCCAGTCACCATCAAAGAATTGCTTTAGGAGAATGCTGTCTGGTAAGAGAATGCTAAAGTGTTTTAAAAATACATCCATTTGGAATGGCAACAATGATGAAGGTCCAGATGCTCAAGATATTCAATAAAGAACACAATCAATTTTAAGTCAAGGTTTCATTTACTTAAAAATAACCAAGTCACTTCAGTTATTGTGGACTATCATAATCTTCACTGACCAAGGGACAAACATAGTATGTGTGAGATAGAAAAAGCATTGTACTAAAAGCATTGGTTCAAGTTAGAGAATCATGTACTATTAATAAGAACAAGAGATGAAAAGAAAAAAAACAGAATAGAGCATCATATTAAAGCAAAACTGTGCATTTGGGCCAACAAGATGCCTCAGCAAGTAAACGTGCTTGCTGCCAAGGCTACAACTGAGTTCAGTTCTCCTACCCACATGGTAGAAGGAGAGAATCGACTCCCAGAGATGTCCTCCTAGCTCCACGTACACTCCGTGGCACACATATACTCACACACATACACACAAAATAAATAAGTAAAAAGAATACACTTAATATTAAACACAAAACAAGCAACATTACAAACCCGTGTTCACATGTAACTTGGTTGAGACTTTGGGAAGACCAAGAGCAGATGAGCAGGCATGCTTAGAGCAGCCAGGCCAGTGTGGGCTTCTGTAGATGCTAAGGAAGGGTGATTTGAAAAGGGGACAGAGATGAGGACATATGAGTGGGAGGGTATGGTAGTGTGTTTTCCCAGCATGCACCAAGTGCTGGGCTTGATTCCCAGCTCCCACCCCACTCCCTGACCAGCAGCAGATATAAAATTTTTGGAAATTTAGCCAGGGAAGAGTAAGAATCCTTTACATGTGTGCACATGTTTATGCATACCAAGAAAACTGCAGAGTAGAACAGTTAGCTCTGCGTGCGCACGCGCGCACAGACACACACACACACACACACACACACAGAGGCTGGCAAGGTGACCCTGTTTCTGTGTCTGCCCCCACCACACACAGGCTTCAGAGCACATGAATGCCAAGCCTTGCATTGTGTCAGTCATTTAAAATGTCGCAAATGGGCATGGCACGGTGGAGCACACCATTAGTCCCAGCACTTTGGAGCCACGGGCAGTTATCTTTGAGTTCCAGCCAGCCAGGGCTACACAGTGAGAGCCTGTCCTCCAATAATCCAAATAAACAAATACATAGATAAATAGATAAATAAATAAATGCATTAATTAGCCATGTAGTGGTGATGCACACCTTTAGTCACAGCACTTGGGAGGGAATGGAGGTGGTTCTCTGAGTTCAAGGTCAGCCTGATCTACAGAGCAAGTTCTAGACAGCCAGAGCTACACAGAGAAGCTCTGTCTCAAAACAAACCAACAACAGTTAATTAATTAAAATATATATTTACAGCTGGACATGGTAGTACATGTCTGTAATCTTAGCATACTCAGGAGTGAGGCAGGAGGATTACACATTTGAGCCAGCCAGCCAGCCAGTGAAATCCTACAACACAACAAGGGTGAATTTACACTGTGAGACATTAACCAACACGGCCGATATGAACAAAGAAATTGAATTTGTTGACAAAGACAAAGGCGGCAGCAACTAGTACAGATAGATCTGTTTAGTAACTGGTTGGACAAGGTTTGGCATCAGCTTTAAAACCAATCTCTGGATTCCACAAAACAAAAGTGAGTAGGAAATGCCAATATCAGCTTCCATTGACAGTCACAGCTTGGGCCGCTGTTTGAGGCGGTCATTTGCTGCAGGCCTCAGGGGTGAGGCAGCGCTCTCTGAGAGAAGCCCTCTCTGTGGCACCTCGGCTTCAGAATGCTGGCCCCGCTCTTACCTCCTGCTCTCATACCCTGACAAGTTTCACAGGTGATGAGTCTGATTCTCCAGCCACCCTCACCAAATAGACCCTGTGATTTACCTGTCTGTCATCTCCACATCTGAGCCCTCTTTGTGACCATCTCATAACAAAAACAGAAAGAAAGATCGATAGTATCTACGGATCCTTTCAACTAAGGATAGGGCCACAGACTGCTGTTACTTTAATGTCCTAAACTGACAACAGGTAATACAATTAAAAACAAAAACAAAAACTAGAAGACTAGGTAGCATTCAAAAGCCAAGCCCACCACTTGGGATGTGGAGGCAGGAGAATAAGGAAGTCAGGGTTGTCCTTGAATACATTAAGCCTGTCTCAAACACCACAACAAAGTCAATAATTACACAAGGGCTCAAGTATAGCTTAGTGCCAGACTTGCTTGAGGTTTGATCCTCAACTCCCCCTTTAAAAAGTTAACTGTGATGCTGAAACAGCTGACCTGAGCGAGTTGGAGCTCGCCAATCCCAGTCTGACAGCTGGGGAATCAGCATGGGACAGAACCAGGCCCTCTGAATGTGGGTGTCAGTTAGGAGGCCTGGGCAGTTTATGAGGCCTCTGGCAGTGAAACCAGTATTTATCCCTAGTGCACGAACAAACTTTGGGAGACCATTCCCCATGGAGGGATACTTTCTTAGCCTAGAGACACAGGGGAGGGCCTAGGCCCTGCCCCAAATGATGTGACAGACTTTGATGATTCCCCCATGGAAGGCCTCACCCTCCCTGGATACTGGATGGGGGTGGGATGGAGGTGTCAGTGGGGGATTGTGGGAGGATGGGAGGGAGAGGGAACTGGGATTGGCATGTAAAATAAGATTGTTTCTAATTTAAATAAGAACTTATAAAAAAAGAAATTTTTATAACTAACATGCTCTGAAAACCAATGCCACAGAATTAAGTGTTTGTCTCAGGTGACAGGTGCATCAACCAGATAATTGGAGGAAACCATGTTATAAACCATAGCACAAGCCACATGCAAGGATATCCACTGCATCCAGGTACTCAGGGGGTCCAGACTGCAGGACAGCTTCCAGAGCACCAATCAGCTCCAGCCAGCATTAGCACCATGAGAGTCATCTCAAGTGAACCGCAGCCTGGCCGAGAGGGCAGTGTAGTTGGTATGAGCAGACGCTCCATACTGTAGGGGCAATTTCACGATGGAAATCAGAGCCTTCTCTCTCTCATATGGCCCTATTAACCTCATCTTTCTGAGGCACATACATGTTGCTTTTGAATGAACTTTTGTGTGGTCCAACTGTACTCTTTAAAAGCTTTAAGGAAAAGAACATAGCTTCTACAACAAAAGAAAACAATGTTCAATAGAGAAAATAACAAAAATTTAGGAGACCATAGAAATTCAGTGACGTGCGCCTTCTCCTGTGTTCCAGAATACGAACTGGGAGGGCATAAGGGAACTCTGGGGATATTACGTTTTATCTACACCTAGTGGTGGTTTTACACTGATGTTTGCAACCGTGAAGGTCACCCACACATGAGATATGCTGCACATATACCCCAACTTAAAATTAAAAACAGAAACAACTCAAGTCTCCCCTCAGATAAATACTTTACAAAGACCACATCTTTTCAATAGATACAAACACACATTGCAAGATCCATTCAAATCTAAATTTTGAAAATCATAACTGAGCACAAGCTGTTCCCTCTGCCAAAAAGCAAAGGTGTTGTCACATTTCATCTCATTCATAACAGATGGAAATGACAAATAGAAGTATTTTAGGAGGAAGACTGACAAGGAAATCTTGGCAGTGGGGTTTTCGCCTTTTGTTCATTAAACAGAACAACGCTGTGGTAAACTGGATGGTTGTCCAGCAAAACTTTCACCTCCTGCCCTGGACCTCCACAGAAGGCCACTCTGCCCCTGTACAGACACTGGGCTTTTGGCACATGATTTGCTTGGCCGGTAGAATGCTAAAATATATGACATAGCTGGATGTCATTGGTGTGTGCCTTTAGTCCCAGCACTCGGAGGCAGAGGCAGGTGGATCTCTGAGTTCCAGACCAGCCTGGTCTACAGAGTGAGTTCCAGGACAGCCAGGAAACCCTGTCTAGCCCCCCCCCAAAAACTATAAAACAAAACCATATATATATATATATGAATGAATGGCACGACATAACTGATGTTTGGTGTGTGTTTGTGAACTTGACCTTCGTCTCTTATGCTAATGACTTGTGTTCACAGAGGCTGGGAGATGCAGGAGAGTGGGACTAGGCCAGCATGTAGCTTGGCTGAGTCTCGTTCACCAGAGTCCTAGAAGATCTGCTGCTGCTCAGTGTGTGAGATGAGACATGAACTGGATAAGCCTCTGGGGCAGTGTGCGAGTGATGCCATCTGAGAAGAGAGAACGAATTCATGGAGGTGCTCCAAGTTCTGCAGGCAGGCACCTTCACCATCGCTCTACTCGGAACTAGCTGCTTTGGCTTAAGACTGAGTGGTGTAAGGGCTCTGGCCCGAGAGGACGCGCCAGTGAGGGCCGTGAGCCAGCGGCGGCTTCCATTTAGACTGCAGGAGAACCACCTCTCCTAGTTTCCCAGGCCTGCCTGTGTCCCTTCTTGCACTACAGTCGTGTATGACCTGAAGATCATCACTAGGCTCTGCTTTCCAGGGAGCACACGCTTCATACACGCCACTCTCACACAACACTGCCTGACACTCACATGTTTAATACTAACTACTGATCTGCTCAGGAACAATTTCATAAGAACCTCACATTTTTAACTCCAGCACAAACTACAGCATTCGAGACACTAAGTCAATTCAAAACTGACTGAACTCGAGCTTTCTTTCCAAGCAACGGGTAAATATAAACTCTGATGGATAAATCTGTAGCTATGATCAAAGCGAAAGTTTTTGTACATAAAAAGTGTACCTTCCACTTGTATTTTTGCTTCAGCAGGAACAAAATACACAGAAGGTCATGCTTCTTTTTTTTAATA